TTCATGACTATTTTTTACTATATAAGTTTGTATATGTTTGTATGCATTCTGTTTGTATGAAAGTATGTATGTACGAGTTTGTGGATGTGAAGCTCGTGACTTTTTTTACTGTCTGAGTTTGTATATGTTTGTATGTATGCATACATGCATGTATGTAACTATATATTCCGTATCTATGTAACTATATGTCTCGTATCTATGTATCCATGTATATCTGTCTCTGTATTTCTATTTATCTATTTATCTGTATATCTCTATATCTGTATATCTATGTATCCATGTACGTTTGTATGTATACATGTGTGCATGTACGTTGGTATGTATGTATACATGTATGTATACATGTACGCATGTATGTTTGTATGTATGCATACATGTATGCATGCATACCTGCATGTATGCAATACTGCAGTCTCTTTCTACCAGAGGCAGTGGTGAATTCTGCTACTGTACGGTTCGATTGTATATCTGTATGTTCACACTTTCACTCATACCTACGTATGTATATCTCGCACGTGTCTATATACTTCTGAATATGTTTGTATGCATGTGTGTGTGTGTAAATACCACTACCGGTGCCGTTTGCGGTTCAATTGATCTTGCTACTGCAGTCTGTGGCATTTGTGCTGCATGTGGTGAGTGCTCTATTCACAGCAACGCGTTCGAGCTCGCTCAGGTAGTCTGATGTATAACACAACAGCACTAGAACAACATAACTGTACACACACCCACTCCAGATGTCGATTTCTATACATACCTAGGTATGCATCTTCATTCACTCTGACTGTTGATGTCGCTACGTACCCTAAGTATCTATTTACACTCCCGTTGTTGATTTGTACATTTACATACATTTACATACATTTACAGACATTTACATACATATTCATACATTTACAGACATTTACATACATATACATACATTTATAGAAATTTATCGACATTTTCATACATTTGCATGCATTACATGCATTTACATATATTTATATCCATTTACAGACATTACATATATTTACATACATTTACATACATTTACATACATTTACATACACTTACACACATTTACATACATTTACATACGTTTACATACATTTACATACATTTTTATACATATACATACATTTTCATACATTTACATACATGTAAATACATTCTCATATATTTACATACATATACATACATTTTCATACATTTACATACATTTAAATACATTTACATATATTTACATACATATACATAAGCATGTGTCTCCGTCTCATTGGTGTATGTCCATATCAATCTGAGTATCTGACTCATTTTTGGTATTGAGATCTGTTTTAATCAAACCACAAGTTGCCGATCCGTGTGTTGATGCTTGCATATACCTTGAAGCGGAAACGATTCACAAACTCTGCAACTCTTTTTTTTGTAATTCTAATTCTGGGTTTCACTTCAATCTTCGCAGGTAAAAGGCTTAATATTGGTGGGTTTTCATGCGCAAATTGGCGACATAACACACATTACGAACATCGAATTGGGCGACAAATCGAGGTACGTTTTCACTGTGTGTATACCAAATATTCTACCAAGTCTGTTTACATCACGCACGTACTGGCCATCTACGTTTACACAAGTACGTTTATTACAGTTATGTTTACTACAACTACGTTCATAACAAGTTGCTCAATCATGTACGTGTACATTATTTCGTGTATAT